TGCCTAAATGGACCCATCTTACCTCAGTGAGGTAACCTCACCTTCGTCGGTTTGTGGGAGATCGGTCAAAGAAGAGATGGCGAACGACAAGTCGAAATCTCATCTGCATCATCGACGATCCTGGCGCTTCTCCACCGCTTTGCAAGCGAGATCTTCCTCAGATTGTCCGAGTCCCTCTGCTCTCCGACGAAGTTATATCGAAAGATGATTCCTCTGAGCTCAAGTCCGTAGAAATACAGTGTAATTGTGGAAACGAATAACCGATGTAATGTACAGTTGTGCATCCAGAGTCCGCGCAGACAACACCTCCCGCTCAACCCAGCACCTTCTTCACGCCCTCCTTCTGACTCGCCGACAGCCTGTCCGGGAACACGACCTCCCACTTCACCACCAGATCGCCTCGCCCCGGCGTCGGTTTCCGGAACTGGAAACCCTCGCCCTTCACCTTCGTCTCCTGCCCCGGGTTCACCACCCCCGCCGGCACGTTCACCTGCACCTTCTTCCCGTCCGGCAGCGTCACCTGCCTCTTCCCGCCCTCGTTCGTCAACGCCTCCACAAGCCCTATCCTCTCCTTCGCCACTAGGTCGTTCCCTTCCCGCCCGAACCGCGCGTGCGGCTTCTCCTCCACGACGAACACCAGATCCTGCGCCTCCCCGGACGACGTCTCGTTCCCTGCCCGTGGAAAGCGCACCTTCGTCCCCGCCTTCCACCCCGGTTGAATCGCCACCTCCAGCACCTTCTCCTCCGTCCACCCGTCCGCCAGCTTCCGTCCCACTTTCAGGTGCTTCGTCGAGCCCGTGTAAAGGTCCTCCAGCGACACCTTCAGCGGGCGCGTGATCTCCGAGGGCGTTGAGGGCGTCGACGGACGCCCCGCGCCCGTGTTGCTCCGCGATGGACGAGTGCGCGGCATCCCGCCGGGCATGCCCCCGAAAGACGCGAACGAGGATCCATCCATATCGTCGTCCTCATCGAACATCGGCGGACGTGACGGACCTCCTCTCGGCATTCCTCCGCCCATTCCGCCCATTCCACCCATGCTATTCATCCCTGCAAAGCCCGAGAGGAACGTCCTGCGGGGCCAACCGTGAGTGCGCGCGTACGGATAATAGCGAGGGGGGAAACGGACGTACTCGAAGACTTTCATTGGATCCGAGGGTGCGTAGCCGCCGCCTCCGGAACTGAAACCACCCGCGCCGCCAGGCATGGAGGAGAATGAGAAGGTCCCGCCTGGGAAGCTTCCTCCATTGCTGCTGAAGCCCGAGAACGGATTGGGGCCTGCGCCTGCACCGGGCGAAGGGCCGCCGCCTTTCAGACCCTCCTCGCCGAACTGGTCGTAGATGGTGCGTTTTTGCTTGTCAGAGAGCACTTCGAAGGCTTCTGAGATCTGTGGAGGCAGGGCGTAAGAACGGGATGTACGAGGGGGGACAGAGGATTGCTAATGACACACTTGCTTGAACTTCCTGGAAGCCTCCTCGCTGCCTTGGTTGCGGTCAGGATGCCATTTCAGTGCCTACATGAATGAAAACACAGTCAGTTAGCGATTCTGAAAACGAGTGCGTGAGACAATAAATCGCACCATTTTCTTGTAGGCCTTCTTGATCTCGTCGTCAGAGGCATCACGACTGACCTCCAGTAGCTTGTAGTAATCGGTACCCATATTGTGAAGTTGGGTGGGTGTGTAGGGGGTGAAGTGGGAAGTATGTGATGGTAAGTGGATGGGATGGCAGTGGGTGCGGAGTGGGGCGACTTATAAGACGTCTGTTATGGTGACGGGCTGGAGCGCGAACGGCGAAGAGGAGGAGGGAGGGGTCGCGAACATACCAGAAGGCAGTGGAACCCGCCGTCATCTGGCTCTATCTTATCTTATCTTCTAGCAAACCCCTATGATGTCATTCCATAGTAGTAGTAGTAGAATCCATACTAAGTATGATCCTCCGAGCGGCTCCGCCCAGTCAACTTGACTCTTTGCAATTTGCCAGATAGAACTGACGAGTCCCTTGCGACACTATTGCTGCGATTCGGATCTCTCCCAAAGTCGAATCAAGAAGGACCTGTATTCTCCATGCCTCCTGATCCTCACCCCTAGGTATATTAGGTGATTGGTCACACGAGGCGACTGGGCCAATGCGGTGCGTATACTTCAGTAGCACCGGTCGTCGCTTCCTCCCTAATGTCTTTCACCACAGAATAACTCAGCTTGGGCCGTTTCTTTAGTCCTCCTGTACTCACTCAGCCTACCTAATATATTCTTTTCTTACTTAACGCCGCGTCAGCAGACCACCATGCGCATGATTCCACAGCGACTTCGACCTTGCCGGCATCCCTCACCTATATAACCACCCATACAATCCGCTTCTCATGTCTCCCACAGCCTCCAACCATGGCGAAGATTCCCACCCAGCTCACGTTCTTCGACATCCCTACCCAGGCATCCATCCCCACCTCCCCGAACACATGGAAGCTGCGGTACATTCAACCCTCCGCCCGTCCTCTCAACATGACGTTCTGACCAGGTTGATCTACGAGCAGCCTGGCACTCAACTACAAACGCCTCGACTACACCACCCACTGGACCCCGACGTCCCTCGCCGAAACTACCTGTATCGCGCATGGCATTCCGCCCTCCTCTACGCGCGCCGACGGAACCCCACATTACACGCTCCCGGCTCTAATCGACCACACCGTCTCCCCACCCGTGCGTCTCTCCGACTCGACGCGCATCATCGACTACCTCGAGCGCACCTACCCCACGCCCGGCGTCTCCCTCTTCCCCGCGCACTCCCACCCTCCACGCCTTCCTCGAGCACCACATCCAGCACCGCCTCAAGCCGCCCTTCTACGACCTCTTCACGCTCGCGCTGTACGACTCGAAGCTCCCCGTGGATCAAAAAGATTACGTGAAGAGGAAGACGCGTGAGAAGAGCGTCGGCACGCTCCAGGAGCTACAAGTGAACGATCCGGAGGGGAGAGCGGCGGCGTGGAGGCGCTTTCGGGAGGCGTTTCGGTTGCTGGCGCAGGTGGCGGAGGAGGGGGAGGCATACTACCGCGCTCTTCCCGATGGTTCCCCAAAAAAAGAAGAAGGAAACGTGTCGGACGATATTCCGCTGTTCCATCCGCCCGCGGTGACTTACTCCGACCTCGCGCTCGGCGCGCTCCTCATCGAGCTGCACGAGATCAGTCCCGAGGACGGCTGGAAGGAGGTTAGTACGTGGGATGGAGGGCGGTGGGCGAGGCTGAGGGAAGGCTTGCAGAGTCGGTGGGGATATGTGGAAGAGATGCAGACGGATTTTTGACTAGTGTAGGTTTCCACCTTTGATTCTGGTGGTTCAAACGATCGCTGACCGGACAGGTGTACTTCAGAACGCCCTTGGTTATTGAGGCAGAAGACTCTTCAATACTGCATGTGCATTATGCCTTCCGTCGCTTGTATTATGGCGAGCAGCGCAACAAGCGTCTCCACTTATTCTGATATCCATGGAAGTATCTCATTTGAAGCGCAAGAGGACCTTCACGGGCGCCTCCGGTGCCCTCTCGACGTAACTTGTAGGCCTTCTCTCATTGATATTCTCTCAGTGATATTCTCTCATTGATCCTCCCAATATACCAGAAAATCGCGTGGCGTCTTAAACGTCATATTTCCCTTGACCTCTTGTTCGTCATCTCTTGGTCCCGTCTCGCCTTGTAATTTTGGGTTCCTGGAAAGGCCTAACGCCACTGCTCACATTCTGGCGCGTGAGAAGGGCCTTCGGCATCTATGATTCGTTGTCGGATGGGGGAGGGGGGGGGGACATTGACCTAATTGCCCTATGACCCGGACAGCTGGTGAGGGCAGTCAGGATGACTGGGTCGGCGCAAGCGCTGGGGATATGTGCAGACCTTATTTATATATGACTGAGTCTTCGGTTCGCAACGCCCAGTCGACCTAGGACTCCCCTTCACGCCGTGCAGAGCCAGCGATATCTGTATCCATGCCTAACACTTCGATCATGCCCGTCGTGCCGCCCTCGTCGTCCTCGCGTGCCGCCCCCACGTCGACGTCGTCTTCAAACACCCCGAAGAACAAAAGCCGACCATTCTCCCTCCGAAATCTGCTCCATAAGTCGAAGCCGGCATCCACCCACTCCAACGATTCCAGTGCGTGCCCTCTTCCCTCTCCTCGCCCCCTCTTCTGATTTTTCAACCAGATACAACCCTCATCGGCACCTCCCCCAGCGCGACTTCCAAGCCACCATCCAGGGACAAACCTACAGATGACTCCATCGCTGAGCAGCCCGTAGCGGCAGCGACGGGGCCGTCGTCCGGGAAATCCAATGTGTCTGACACCGCGTACGGCAAGTTCGGGGAAAGGCACGCCAGTGTGGACGGAGTCATGGACGGGATTCCCTCGCGTGTGTGGGTGTAGTGGTCTCTGCTGTCTGACTGGATGGGGACATGCCGCCCCGCCATGAACCTTTCTGTGTCGCGGTAGGGGGTGGGGGGGAAGGTTTGCTGCGGCACTCTCGGACGCACCTGATGTACACGAGTTGGCACTCTGTTCGGTCGAAGGAATACGTGTAGGCGGCTCCCCGCGAAGGCTCTGTGAATGTACGTCAGAAAAACACGATGGTGGATTTCGGCAGATTTCGGCAAATTCGGGGGTTTATAATGCATTATAACTGATTCTAACACCCCGGAAATCAATTATAACTGCGTTCGCCTTTTTCTGACGTATGTCTGTGCTATCCTCCACCCAACGACATGCATAGCGAGTAACTTGCCCTTGGAGAGATCGCAGAAGGGAGACGTGTGGCTCAGCCCAGGATCGAACAGGTTACACAAGATGCGGTTCAACCTGGCAGGAAAACCCAAGCTCGAACAGGAACAAAAATATGGTTCAACTCGGGATTGAAAGGAGTCCAAGGGAACGGGGAGCTCCGAACTACTGTCAGTCTGTTGTACTGAAGAATATGCAATAACTCAGGCGTGAATCGTGATGGACCGATGGTCCATGGTCCATGGACAAGTCCAACCCAGGATCGAACTGGGAGCCTTCTGTGCACGTGACCTTTCACCAATGCTCAAGTGAGACAGAAATCATAACCATTAGACCATTGAACCATGCAAGGCAAGCATGTTGCAAAGTCTGTATACCTTGGCAACTGAAAACCGGCATCCGCGCCCGGTCACCGGCGCTCTCTCTAGACCATAACTGCTAACTTACCAATTTTACCATATTCCCTCGACCATGGACGTCTGTTCGTTTCAATATCTGATCCTATATCTCGCCCATTGGCACACCGTTCGCCTCGACGCAACCTCACCAACACCGATAAGATATCATGAAAATCGCCGTCACTGGATGCAACGGCTCCGTCGGTCGACGTGTCGTCCTCAATGCGCTCAAGCAAGGCCACAACGTATTCGGCATTGACCGTGCACCGCTACCCACAGAAGACTCGGCTGCTATAATAGGCGATGCGTCTTTTCTATGTCTGGTCGTCGACTGCCGTGACTTTGATGCGACTATGGCGGCGCTCCGGGGGTGTGAGGGAGTGGTGCATCTGGCCGCACATAGGGACCCAACGGACTATCTCGTCAAGTCACATAACGAGTGGGTAGTGCTGGTCGTGTCTGTGTGTCATGGAGGGTAATCTACATTCGTGGTTCAGTAATGTGGTCATGTCCTGGAACGTCTTGCGGGCATGTGCAGAGGTGAGCCTCGTATCTCCACGGACACCGGCACGATTGTGCTGAACGAAACCAAAGCTAGGAATTAAGCGCATTGCGATGGCATCCTCCGTGAATGTCCTACCCATGGTGTTCAGTATCAAGCCCAACTTTGATTATTTCCCAATCGACGAGGAGCACCCTTGCCGACCGGACGAGCCTTATGGTCTATCCAAGATGTATGCGTATCGTATGCGCGAGTCTTTCCACTACCCTGACTTGTTATTTTCCTCAGTATTGGTGAACAGCAAGCGGATACCATCGTCCGCCGGTACCCATCTACCCGAATCGCGAGCCTTCGCCTCCATTGGTCCATTCCAGATCCTAGCGAAGCCGATAAAGGGTTCCGTGCTAATCCAGATCGCCAGAGCAAAGACTTATGGAGCTGGGTCCAAGAGGATGCGGCGGCGGACGCTTTTCTTCGCTCCCTCACCATCGAAACGGACGCTTGGGCCGGCCACGAGCGGTTCTTCGTCGTTGCCCCAACTATCGCGCCAACAGGCGTCGACGTGCAGGAACTCAAGCAGAAGTACTATCCGGAGGTCACAGTGAGAGACGGGTTTGAACTGAAGGGTAGGGCAGGGTTTTTCGATTGTAGGAAGGCGGAGAAGCTTTTAGGGTGGGTACACCCCATCTGATAAAAGACGTGCGTTCCCTTGTGCCCCGGTCGTTGTATTCTTGATTCTCATGGCATAGCAGAAGCTGCTGTTAGACACCGCTGTCATATCCGTGGCGATTTGCCGCCCAAACGTCTTGACACCACCCTCCAAGCAGGTATCAGACATGCTCCGTTCAACTCCTGATGTACATTCACCATTCGCACCGGGCCGTTCCAATTGGATAAAGACAATAGAATCCACGCACCTGCCTCTTTCGACGCTTTTGCTGGCAATATCGCACCACCCGCCAACAAGGAACGGGCAAGCCGTGGTGTCCAATTAGCTCAAGACTGTCCTGACACGGACTACAGCCTTCGCTGATCCTGCCGGTGGTCTCGTGTTCAAAGACGATGATGTTGTTATACAGCTATCTAGAAGCTGCTGACGGTCTTGTATTCGCTCGTCCGCCGGCGTGAGATGATACGTACAGCCCTCGGGCCACACGCACCCAGCTCATTTCTTTTCAGCGTGACATCGACGCCCTCCTAAACGAGGGAATGTCCATTTCAGTTCCAGCAGAGGCAGGCTATCGATAGGGCATTGCTGCTGTAAGCCTGTAAGCATCCTTGCTGTAACCCACTCCTGTCGCCATCCAGTCTCAACCAGGTTAACTTCAGCTCGTATTGTCAATAAACACGGTCTTCCTCTCTACAATGTCTCTCGAGTCTCAGCCCAGCTGTGTTATCCTGGGTGTGGGTCGACAGGCACCATCTCGATGCACCCGATGGTCTCGTGTCCACCACATCCCGGTACTCTTACGCTTTACAGGCCCCCAATGGCTGTGTCGACGATCATTCCAAATATTATGTTCGTTGCAACATAAACTTATATTGAGATGGTGGGATTCCATCACCTGTCGTGCTGTACAAGACCTCATAGTACAGGTGTTTACCTATCGATAAGATGTGGTAATCCCCTGTATAAAGGTAGGAGGCTCGGCTGACCTTCTCTCTTATCACCCCCATGTCCAACTCATCACCGAAGCTCACAGTGGCTATTTGGTATGTACGTCGGTCTGTTGATCCGTGGACGACGACCGATGCCATTCAATACGTTGATAGCGGTGGGGGTATAGGCGGCGTTACCCTCGCATGCGCCTTGTCCAGCAGTCCAGATATCCAGATAGACTTATACGAGGCAGCGAACAAGTTCGGCGAGATAGGGGCTGGGCTGGGGATTTGGTGGCGAGGTCGTAGGGTGTTGCAGATGCTAGGGCTGGACGAGGAAATGTCTGCCGTCGGTGGACCCATGACAGATACCAGAAGTGTGTTTTTCATCAGTGCATCTTGACCGCTCGCAGGATGCTGAAAACATCACATAGTACCCACATTCCGACTAAGAAAAGCCGACCAACCCGAAGGCCTGCCGTTTTACACCGTAAAATCTCGAGGTACGGTGCTCGTATGCTACAGTTGGTCTCATTTAATGCTCTCTGTCATCCTAGGCGGCGTCACCGCACTGCACCGAGCCGACTTCCACTCTATCCTCCTGGGGCATCTGTCCTCTCGTTGCCAGACCTATAACTCCAAGCGCCTGACTAGATACGTCGACCCAGAAAGCTCCGACAAGCCTATAACACTTTTCTTTGACGACGGATCCACTGCGACATGCGATGTTCTTGCGGGCGCTGACGGGCTGAAATCTAATGTCAGGCAATGCATGATGCAGCATAAAGCCGACCTGGCCGAGCGGGATGGTGACGCGCACAAGGCTGCAGGGTACCGAAATACCGGTCGCGCTCGGTATAGTGGCCTCCTTGGCTATCGTACGGTCGTATCGAGCGAAAAGTTGGCGAGTATTTCCCCGGAACATCGCGCTCTCACTACACACAATATAGTACGTTGCGCGGCGTGTGACTTCGAGGGTACGCTGACCTTGAAATTTGGGGCACAGTTTGTGGGCAAAAATTGCGTATGTCATTCACCCTTGCTGTGGATACCATCTCATGCAATACGGCTATAGCACATCGTGGCCTACCCCATTTCCGCAGGCCGTCTGGTCAACGTCGCCATCTTTTGTGCCGATTTCAACCTCGAGGACTCGGACTTTCCTCACCCTTGGGTCTCACAGGAAGATCCGCAACATGTCCTTGGGCTGTTCGACAATTGGGAGCTGGAGGTCCGCCAGCTTGTTAGCGTATGTTCGTTGTGGCCATATCATGCCAAACCCATCTAAACCGTCCTCGACAGTGTATCGAGGGAACAACTGTCAACAAGTGGGCCGTTAACGTAGTCAAGTCATTGACCTCGTATTCCTCAGGTCGAGTCGGGCTCCTGGGCGATGCAGTCCGTATCGTTTCGAAATGAACACTCCCTGACTTGCGATCCTAACTTCATGTAGGCTCATGCGATGACTCCCTTGAGAGGCGCGGGTGCCGGACAAGCGATTGAGGTACTAAGTCGTAGAACTGTTTTCTGGAGCATATAGTATTCTCACTCAGAATTACTCCTCGTTTAGGACGCCCAGATCCTCGCCGCTATACTTGCTCACGACTCAACCACCAAGGAAAGTGTAGCGCAGGCCCTCCAAGTTTACTCGCGCTTTCGGCAGCCCATTGCATCGGGCGTCGCAGAAGCATCCCGCCAGAACGGCATGTTCCTATCCCTGTACGGCGTGGAGGGCGAGGTCGATGAAGCCCGTCTGGAGGAAGTCGGGAAAACGATCCAGGCGAACTTTGACTGGTATACGGAGATAGATCCTGCAGACGATGTAAAGGCAGCCTTAGAGTTGCTCGAGTCAACATTGACTCTTTCATCGTAAAGCTTATGTTGTCAAGAGTTTTCTGCGTTAAGACCGCGTGGAGAGCAATAAACGTCCTTCATTTGTACCGTCTCCCTGTTTCATCCACGGTCCCGTCCACAGCAACACGCTTCACGTAGCCCTTTCCGTTTCGGTACTCCGTTCCACCGTTTGAAAACTTCCAATACTTGTTCGTGTTCCTGCAGTCAAAGGGCATCAGTATGAGTAGGGTCGACGCGCGAGACTCGTTCAAATTTACACGTTGTTATAATGGTAGGCCATTTCTCCGTGAGAATAGATATGCGTGCAGAATTCATCTCCCTGACAGCAAGTCAGTATAGGGGTAAAGGAAACAGATGCGACAAACTTACCTGGGCGTTCTCTGCCGTATACTTGAGCACCCTGGCTTTGCTTTCCATGGCGTCGCAATGTACACACTCGGCATCCAACATGTCCGGGAGAAAGGAGTTCTACAGCTCTTGCGAGCAGGTACCAGGCTGGAGGATTTATAAGGAAAATAGCAAGTAAGACTTGAGACGGGTCTTTGTCCGAGCTTCAGTGCCAGATGCTTGATAGGTGCTCCTGAGTCCTGAAGACCGCGCCGTACCGTGATACTTGCCGTGATAGCAACAATCTGACTAGGTTTGTCTGAACATCACCTCCTCCCCCACCTTTTGAGTCTTGTAGTTCTACACCTGCGAGTCTGCGACGGCCGAGGAACGTTGCGAGCCTCGAGGCCGCGAAAAGCCGAGCGGGAATCTGAAGATCTCACTTCTCACGCCTGCGCACGTTCTTCTCATCCTTCCCTCACACCTCATATCCTCCGGTCATCTCCCATCGCACCCAGCTGTAGTGAAAATATGGCGCACACCCTCCAGCCTTCAACGGCCAGCACAAGCAGCACCGACCCCTCCCTTCTCCGACGCTCCTGGCACGCTATGTCCGACCTCCTTACCCCCTTCTCTCCTACCGCCCTCGCAAAGTTGCCCCAAG